AGAAGAGACGAAGCAACGTTCACACGTTGGAAACGATGATCATCGGAGAGTTCGTGAGGCACCAAAACTTGTTTATGGAGTTTTCCCATATTCCTTAGATGTTTACGTATTGTTTCATGTAGACATGCAATTTCAGGGCCATTCCACGAGTGTGTTGCCTTGGGTTAGACTCAACAAGGTGTCTTCAGAGCATTAATATGAATTCCAACATGTCGGCCCCTGCCATCATAATTTTTAAGGCTAAAGTAACCTAAACGAAATTTGCTGAATCATCATTGACACTTACGAACGTTCAAAACATTTTCATAAACTTCTTTAATATTATTTGTGGCTACAGTGGAGTTGTTTCCCTTCTTGTATTCAAACAGCATTACATGTCGAATGTGTGTCTCGTCGTGTGCCATCACTATAAGGGATTAGCATATACTAAACTTTACACAACAACGTGATGTTTAGGCGGTTTGTTTAACTATTATACGTGATGTACGTTTTTTTTTTTTTTGGGGGGGGGGTGGTTTAATGAAAGTGTTCCAAAACGCGACATTAATTTCTTGATGGCTTAATATAACGAAAGTTATACTGATTTTATAACGTAACGAGATAAAGGTTAGATATTCTGGTCTTATAAGATGTTTTAGTACAAGTTAAATCGTCTGATGCTATAACTTGTCTCAGAAAAATATAGATCAGATTATAAAGAAATATGATTCATCTGTGTAGTATAACTAAAGCTAAACAACAACAGACGGTAAGAATATTACGACATCCAGTGTTGTAAATTTCTCTTTAGAGTTAACACCTGATTGATACTGAAATCCAGTCACAATACTCACATGTCTAACACGAAACAGGCAATGTAAAATAAACGTGAGCTCTTGTTTGTGTCATCGGCGAGATAAAAATAAAAACAAATGAATAAATCGTAAAGATCATCTGACATATCAGTGGCACGTGATTCACAACGAGAGACATTATGAGTATTTTAATATAAAAGATTTACAAGGAAATAATGTTGAATAAAACACAACTCTTTGATAATCAGACATTGATATCACTTTTTTTATTAAAGAAATGAAACTGTTAAGAAAAAAAAACGTTTTACTCGTATTCAGCGTTTGTTCTAATGATTAGATTACTGAACATTTATCTTGATCCTTCCATCTCAGTTGAAATAGTCGCCACCTCCTGATTAAGAAGAAGAGAAAGCAATAAGAATTCTAAAAACTAAATGTAATTAAATAATAATTTACACAAAACTTCTAAATTAAATTTCTGGTCACAATGAAAATTTAATTTAAATAAATATCAATGAAAATTGATCTTCACGGGTTACTCAATATTAATAGCATCTAAAACATAACGAAAAAAAATAAATCATTAACAAACTGTTAATGATATAAAACTAAGCTTTCAAAGTACAATTAGAGTCAAAGAATGACATGTAGTTGCTTCCTATAATAATAATTACAGCTTACTTGAAATTATATATTTTTATAGATTTAAGCTTCTAATTATCAATACCAGAAACTTTCAACCAAAAATCTCATTCATATATAATCATAAACACTGTCTCGTTGAAATGAAAAAAAAAATCGGACTTCTTAGGACCTGCAGGGGTTGCTAACATATAAATTAAACAAAAACTACAGTGCAAAGAACAACATAGGGATGTCCATAAAAACATAATTATCATTTGATATCTGCAGAATATTCATCACCTTAAGGTCAGAACTGTCAGTAGATAACGTTGTTGATCTTTATCTTCTGATAGATAACATTAATATTTTATTTATATTTCGGAGAATTTCTTTCTGTTGAACCGATAACAGCAGGGCCAGCTGAAATCCTTGAGAGGTTTACTACTTTTCGACAACTTTTTTCTGTCATTACAGACATTTTTTGTGTGCATTACATTTTTCACAGATTATCACAAAAAAGGACTGTCACCACTATGAATATCTACAAAAGGTTCACCATTGAAAGACACTATATATATTATGAACATTCATAAGAGTATATGTGCATAGCAAGAGTACGATTCTCTGATATCTCTAAAAGACCACTACGGAAATTTACCAAGTCCATTACGAAAATGCTTTGGGAATTGATACGAGAATAGCAACAGTACTGTATATTTAATAAAACACTACCTCCATTACAGACATTCCTAAATGAGTCACTATGCGAATAGCAACAATACATCTCTCTCTAAAATCTCTATGAAATTTTAAGACACTACCCCCTATCACAGACAGTCTTAGGGGCATTAATATGCGAATAAGAACAATGCAACTCTGTTACACCTTTTAAAGACCACACTGAAAGACACTGCCTCAATTATGGACATTCCTAGGAGGACCAATATATGTGAATAACAGATTTCTAAAAGGTCACCACTGAAAGATACAAACACTATTATGGACTTCTCCTAAAGGTTCGCTAAGTACTCTAAACTGGTTTACAATTACAATTCTTACAAACTAAAACCACCTTGAACTTTATGAGCTATGTATTGGCTTATAAATATAAATTTAATATATTATTATTACATAGGTGCTCCTGAAGTTCATATATAGGTTTAATTTTAGATTATTATTTGTAACTCATCAAAAATGTAATTCATAAAAAACATCTATATTTTCTAAGCAAAACTATGTTCCAAAATAATTTTGAGTTGTATGTAAAGGATTGAGTACGTTATATTAAAATAACTGTGGATCTGCACCACGTCATTAGAGTCCATGTCGACATGTCCAGTGATGTTCTATCTGACATTCGTGCATCTTGACAATAGATATACAACGTAAGGTTGTCATGCCAAAAACACACCATTTGTCACTGCTACGAGGACGATTGTGTCCCACAGCTCTTACAGAAATTGAAATCCACTACATCCAGCGACTAAACCAATATGTTTTCGTATGGAATATCTCGAGTGCTTGTTTCATTCTTTAGCTGATTGAAGTATGTAAAAGTTGAACAGAAGGTATGACTGGAAGTCATATTTTGGTGATCTCATACTTTGTTTTCCTCATTTCTGTATAAAGCCGCTATTTCTTTATTGTACAAAGGGTCTAGAACATTGGTTTGATAATAAGCAGACTCTACCTCAACCTTTGAATCCACTCTTAAGATCCATAACTTGTCCCTAGCACAGAATCAAGCAATGATGATGAATCCATTAGAAAACATTTTACATGTCGTGTACCACTTTTGTAGTTTGTTTTCATCCATTGACCGATAAAAAATGGCACAAGACTGTTTACAGTTATCAAGGTACACATGCTTTATGGAGTGTCATCATACTATCATTTTATTCCAGGCTAGGTGCGGCTTATATAGTTTTTTACACTTGGTCTCTCTGTCCTAGTTATGTGTTGGAAGCAACTGGTGTCATTTTTTTCAGACTGAGATCATTCTCGATTATGTTGCATATTGTTGCCTGGGTTACGGCTTTTTGTAGGTCTCTTTCTAGTTGGCCCTGATACCCCAAATTGACCCATCTTCTTTTGTTTTCTAATGTCTTTAAGTCCAAGAGATATCCCCACCTTGGAAATTGTACATCTCTGATCTAAACGCACCTCTGTGATCTTAATGTATGAATATTTTGTGTCGGAAAGGGTGGTTACATATCTCTCTCAAAAGCAAACAATTTTCGGTGCCATATTACTACCTAGAAAATGCCAGTGTTAAAATATAGTTTTGATACATTCCATTCCACTTTGTCTTTATACCGGTTGTGGCTGTCACGTAAATTGCTGATTTGGACATTCAAATTCGTTTTATTATAACATACTCAACCCTCTGTTGTTGTCAACCTTTATATAATAAACCTGAAAATAAAATATTAAAAGTATAAAATATAATGGATGTGGTGAAAGTTTGCTTGAAGTAACAGAAGTAATATGATCAGAAATACTGATTTTTGGTCTCTGAACAACAAAAATAATAAAGGTAACAAAGCATGATATTTGGAACTTAAAAACAACGTGAATAAAGATCATTGAGCTCTAGTTGAAACATTGTAATTTACCTCAGTCTATAAGCAGTTGAGTACAGTTCAATTTCAATAATGGGCATTATTTCACCGAAAGGGGGCCAAAGGCCGCCAGGAGGGGTCATCTGTTTTAACCAATTTACAGTAGTGTGTTATCTGTCAGTCAGTCAGTAGGCACTAAAATGACGTCACATTACAATTTGTACTGTCGCGACGTCAGTAAAACGTGCGCATGCCATGAATCACAAGAAGAATTATGCATTCTGTAAGCTAAAACAGAGTTGACATACGAACTTGGAAAGCCAGAAATAAAAATATTTGTTAGTCTTAATTTTGGTTTTATTTACTCTTGAAACAGATCACTTTCGGGAACCCTGTAGAAGTACATATAGTATTAGTAGTAGTAGTAAATAATATATATATACATAAAATACTAAATAATTTCGTTATGTACCTAAAATAATAGGTATAATGCAATGTTAAAAACATCGTACTGTTTTATTGAAATAACAGGACTGCATCTAATAATAAATATACATGTTTTAATGATAAAAATAGCAAACAGTTAAAATATAATTAAAAGACAAGAGAAAAGCTCTCTAACAAAAAATAAATAAAAGCTGTAAATTCCCGTATTTCAAAATTGCTGGCCTACCTCCTTTTCACCATCCGAATCTTCTTTATTAGACAGTCCTTTAATTAGTCCATTAATCCCCGAAACGGCACGGGTGACTAGGTCCTTCAAAACTACTGTGAAAACATTAAATAGGAAAAATTATTGTCTTGTTACAGAGGTCCCGACTACTTCTGTTCTATTCTAAAACATCTCTAGAAAGACAAGTCTGCAGGTTTTTTCTGTATTAATGAGATGATCTTGTAATGGTTAAAATAAAACAAAATAAGACTCGGGTGTTTTTCAGACGTTTTCACTAGTGAATAGCCAAATGAATTTAATAGCCCAAGGTAACTCTGGTTGTTCGAAAAACGCGTGAAGTGTTTAATCGTGTCAATCTAGACCAATTAAAAAGACGCTGACACAGTAGTTTAGCCTGTCATAAAGAAAGTACTATTTTGATAAATATAGGCAACAGGTAACATATTTTATTTCTTATCTATGGCTAGGTTCTATATGCAACAACTTATATGAACATCTGGGCAATTAGCACATGATGATCATCATGCTAATTCTCTCGTGAAGTACCTGTTTTACATAGAAATGCAAAAGATTTAATCAATGTGATACCATAATACCATGCCAGAAGCAGATCATCTAATACTTTAGCTTAGAGTGAAGAAGATAAGTGTAGCTTTAAGTTTGGTATACTAAGGTAGAACTGTAACTTATGAGGTAAGTTTTAACTGGGCAGCACAGAGGTTTGAAAAATGTGTTTCCGGAAGAATAAATCAAGAATGGACAACAAAGAAAAACTTATACACAACCGTAAAATAATAAACAACAATTTGTATTCCTCACGATAAATATGCTAGTGCCGCAGAAAAAACTGGCTACCTTCTATGTTATTCAGATTTTCTGACTGCTGGAGATAAACAAAAATCGACTTACCTCCAAATCTTTTCACATAATCGGAGATTTTAGTGACTCCTGATTCTGGGTCGTCAGAATTAAAGAACTTTTGAATAGAATCCAAAATACCAGCTTCCATTATTTCAATTTCTTTTTCTTTCGTAGTTTTCTCATCGTCGTCAGTCTTCTGTTGTGCAGCGTTTTCAATATCATCTTCATCATTTGCATCTTTAACATCTCCTTTAGCAGTGGGACTACACTGGGATTGCAGGAGCAACGATCCCAAAAAGCAAAGCAATATAACTGCATGCACAGGCTTCATAGTGGCTTTCTTAAACAGATTTTGAAACTAATAGCAAAAAATAAAAACAATTTCAATGCATATCCGAATGCTATATTTTTCAATTTTCAAACACAAACTTCAAGAAAGATTGTTGTTAGATAAAGATGCATATATAGATTAAATATAAGGTATAAGGCTTTAATATCATAAAATACAACAAAAATTATACAGAGCACGCAAGTTAATCATTGTACTGAAGAAAGTAATATACACATAATTCGTTACACAAATTATAGATCATTTTTAAATTTTAGGTTTTGGGGATACCTGTGTCTTTATTGACAACTCGTACTTTCCAATCTTTACAGTTCTTCGATAAAAAATGATGAATATTGCACTGAAGTTGTACGTTTTGTTATAATAATATTCTATAAATTCACTGCATCAGTTTTGATCTGATCCATAAGATATATATTTACTGGGGACTCGTAGTTTTGCAATCGATCTTCAAGAATAGGTATACATTTTCGATATCACCTGGTTGGGTTTATGATTTCCCAGTTGATCTTTATGTACGATATAGTCGTCACCTGGAAATCCTTGGTTCAGTTTATGATTTCTCAGTTAATATTTAGGTAAGACCTTGTCGTGTCCTGGAAACCATTAATTGGGTTTATCATTTCTCAGTTGATCTTTAGGTTCGATATTGTCATCACATAGAAACCCTTGATCGGGTTTTCGACAGATGCAGTTGAAAGTGTTTTTTAATAATGATAATGTTATATATTAACTCTATCTTACCAAACAAACACTGTTCATATAAATTAAATGATTATGTTTTGATAATAATGCTATGCAATGACAAAAAATGGATACAAAACTTGTCTAACGCTTATCATTTCCTTATTTCTGTCTACGGCGTAACACGAGTGAATATTAAGTTTAAGTAGTAATGTAATATCGTGTGAAGAGCGTTCACTATACTGAGAAGTTTTTCTACCAAGAAACGCTCCGAAGTGAAACATTTGAGTCAATTAAGTATGAACTTTTAGTTTGAGGTACCAAACATCAAAAATCAAAGTTAAATAACAAAGTAAAACAAGTAATTGAAAACATTTTATCTGAATGTAATTTGCTAAGAAAACAAACAAATTGTTTGTAGTACTCTATTATTTAACCTTAAAAAACAAGCTACCTACATTTGGGTAGCCCAGAACATTTACATTTTATACCGTGTTGAGATACCACAACATTTTTATATCATGTTAAAATATCACAACTGTCCTCATTTAAAATTATTACAGTTGGTAAATCATCTTACGAGTTTCTTAAAGGAGTAAATGTGAATATTTTGGAGAGAAATACGATAGAAAGAACTAAATGTAACGGTATTAGACAGTTTATGCTTGAATGTTTTAAATTAGTTAACTTTTATCAAACTGTTCCTCTTAGTGAATGTCACTTACCTGCGTGTGGCGGTGTACCGAGGATCGTCACTAGGATAATGACAAGAATATGTTATGAAGCAGCTCAACTAATGTTTCTGTGTTTTGTGTACAATAAAATCAGAAAGCGTATGTTCACCACTTATAAATTCCTATTGGCAAGGTAAAATGAACTTGTTTCGTAGAATTTACCTACGGTCGGTAACTCATTGGGGAAGTAATTGTGTGGCATGATGCCAAGATCACTTTCACATGCTTGTTTACTATATGAAATGTTAATCTATCTCTCTGTGTGGGTGTGCTGATTCAGACACTGTTGCACATCTAAGTTAACAGGTTTTTCTAACGCCCCATACATTGTACTATTTCGATGTAATTGGAAAGAGAAGTAATATGAATAGTGCATGTAAGATACACCATAATCACCACAGTTTGGTTGTTATTGGCTCAAAGTTATCAATGGACAATACTCCTTAAGATATCAAATGGAAAAGTAAGATACACCATAATCACCACAGTTTGGTTGTTATTGGCTCAAAGTTATCAATGGACAATACTCCTTAAGATATCAAATGGAAAAGTAAGATACACCATAATCACCACAGTTTGGTTGTTATTGGCTCAAAGTTATCAATGGACAATACTCCTTAAGATATCAAATGGAAAAAACAATTTTTTTCTTATTGTAAAAAGATACAAAACATTACAGAAAATATCTGCAATAAGTGTTCAAATAAATACACTGAAAACCAGCGATACCCCAAAGTTAACTCAGAAAATAACCAAGGCAACGAAAACACAAAACACATATTTTTGAGCACTCAGTTGCAGCTAATGTAAATTGAATAAAACCATATTACATCAATATATTCACTATTTAGTTCAAATGCAGTCAGTGGTATAGTGCTAAATATAATACTGCCAGAGGCCTGCCAAAATTTCAAAAGTATGACGTCACGAGCAAGGTAAAGATTTCATACTGAAAACCTAAATTTCATTTTTGTGAGTCCATTCTAAGTAAGGATAATGTAAGCAGCACTAATTATTTGAGATTACTTATATTAGTAATATATTGAATATGCATATATTACCAAAAGAGATTCCACAACTTAACTCCTTTTAAATGAAGCAGCAAGGAGGAAACAACAATAACTGTGCATCATATATACGAACATTTTAGTCTTCTTCCGCTTCAGATTTAGCAACAACGGTCTGAACACAGAGTTACAACTTTGATTCTGCTGCCAAAATGAATAACTAAAAAATGCGATCTTCGTTACATATTATCTAAATAATGAGTTTTTAAGAAATGTGTACGTTCTAAACACACAGTATAATTGTAAAATGTGTACGTTCTAAACACACAGATAACTGTAAAATGTGTACTTTCTAAACACACAGTATAATTGTAGAATGTATTTTATTTAGTGTTTAAATACCACACTCGTGTGTCTTGATAACCACGTGACGTATGAGAAGAACCATTTCACTATTTTAACACTCGCTCCTGCTCTTGAACAGAAAAGGTCTGACGTCAGTTCCTGAGGGAGAGTGACAGAGTGTGTGCTGATCAGTCCGATAAAACTCTTGCAGAGGACACGAAGGATCACAAACAGCCAGAATGTTCTCTGACATTCTGAGAGTTTGGTTACGAAAGATGATGTTTAGTTCTCTGTGAGATGAAGAAAACAATACGATATTTTATGCTTTTTCAATGAAGAATTGCCCCAGTGACACAGCGGTATATCTGTGGACTTACAACGCTAGAAACCGAGTTTCGATACCCGTGGCGAAAAATAGTTCGAATATTCACACAATATAACAAAATGCATCAGAATCTGTCGTCATTACCTCAGTAAAATAATAAAACGAAAATAGAAAAGTGCAGATCAATTCATCTATATTGGTTTTGAAAGAAGATAGGTGTAACTTGAAACGTAGCTATTACTATTACGGATTAGTCATTAACCAGACATCAACTAAATAAAAAAGTAAGTATTAAAAACAAAATCTAAAGACATTCAAAATATAAAATAACATTTTATTCTTTCCGCAGTTATAATTACGTGAATATGAAATACCGAAAACAAACGCACCCAGAGGCACAGCGGTATGCCTGCGGACTTACAACGCTAGAAACCGGGTTTCGATACCCGTGGTGGGCGGAGCACAGATAACCCATTGTGTAGCTTTGTGCTTAATTATCAATAAACTCGTTGTAAACCCGAAAACAAACAAAAAAATCAACTGAACAAGAAGCTTTTGTTTGGTATTAAGCATAATGCTACACAATAGGCTACTTGTGCTGCGCCCAACATGGGTATCGAAACCTAGTAAGTCGGTAAGTCACACACGTCATGAACAAAAAATAGTTATTCTTTAGTCTATTATGGACTATCTTACTATCCGATGAAAACATCTTTTCTATTCATATAAACTGAAAAAAAACAAAACATCTTAACATATCAACTACCTGAACAAAACATTGACCCTTATTTATAAACTAAAACAATACATCTTAACATATCAACTACCTGAACAAAACATTGACCCTTATTTATAAACTAAAACAATACATCTTCTCTAGTCTATTGTATATTATAAAGTTTGGAGACGCCTTGAATGAGTAGTGAAAGAAACTATTGCAATTGTGCAACGTTTACACAAGCTTATGTCATCATCAGGTTCAGGTGGTTTATATAGACACGAGAATATATATAAATATATACAGTGTGGAACAAAGAGGTAACATAGCCGGATATTGCTTAACAGCTTGTGAGATAGAATTCTTTTTGGTTATGGTTTTGTTTGTCGTTTATTTATTATTCCTTCTGTCGTTTAGTTTATCTATGAATATTTAGTTACATTAAAACGCTAACTCACCTTCTAGCTGGTTACGTTTATTTTGAGTAAATATGTATGTATTATGAAACTGAGACCAGCTTCCTTAGCGGTGACGTACAGATATTATTAATGTAACAAAAGAATATGTGAAGTTATTATCACATGAGATAGTTAGTGAATTATTCCTGTTTGTCACTCGATATTGTTATTAACATAGAAAGGTGATTTTCGAATATTGTATTTCTCTCTTTTTTTTTTTGAATTAGGTTTTTTCTTCTCGTGGTTCTTTTTCCTGATTCCATTATTTGAAATAATTAATATTGATATTTATGTTTTATTGTTCATTAACATTAGTATCAAATCCTGGCCAGGTACGTGTTTATTAATCGTGTGTTTGGTAAGTGCTAATTTTTATCGCAAGTGTTATCACAGTTTAACACATTTTTTTTTTGAACCCTGTTGTTTTAGACCGTTACAAGCTTAGTAAAGTTATTTTGGTACCCCCGAGGTGTTGATTTAGAGTAGGGCTGTTTTGTTCAATTAAGACAGCTTCCTTTATTTTTCGTTGTTGTTGGTTCTTTGTTTAAAATTACAGTGTTTTGTATATGATACTATGGTTTTTCTGAGTTGCAATGACGGTAATTATGAGAGTTTTTTTTGGTTATTTTCAATAAATGTGGTCTCCGATTTTCTTCCTGTTTCTGTGATGAAGAATTCTAGATAGTTATTGCAAGGTATTATATAAATGATGGTATTGTGTGATTCTATGTAATTTTTATTTAGTAATGATTTTAATTTAGGGCTGGGTTTTTGAGTCAGTTTGAAGTCGACAGGAACTTTATGTTTAATGGCAAGTTTTCTCCTAGTGTGAATTATTTTTGAACTGATTTCAGGGATGAATGATAAGTTGCAGTGTAATATTGCGTTAATGCTAGTTTTGTTTGTGAGTTGAGTTTGAGATTTTTGTGTTGGTGTGATTGAAGGATTGCTTCATAAAGTTGAATTCTTCATCTACATAGTCAGTTGAGTAAAGTTTTTAAGTTGTGTTTTATAAGTTTTTTTTAGTATATTTATTTTTTGTTTGGATTTATGGGTGGAATTACAGGGGATGTAGAGACCTGTGTGAGTGAATTTTCGGTGAATTCTGGTTTTGAACTCTGTGTGTGTGCTATGTATATCTTTCCAGTATGCTCCTTCACTTGTCCACCACCATAAATCAAATGTACTGTGCAACTATCTCTAAACTTCGTAACATAAATGTAAAAATTACCAAAAGGAGAAAAAATATTTCTTTTCTCAGACAATACCACTTTAAACAGTTAATTACCAACTTTGTAAAAGTAAAGTTATCGAAATTCCTAAACCAGTTTACAAGTATTATCCAAAACATGCGACGAAACCTTATAAGAGCTTCCCTGAATACCAAATATCAAGAACTAAACTACTTACTAAAACGTAGACAAGAATTGAACCACCAACTTGCCTGTTATATCGAACCAGATGAGTAGAACAATATACAACGGAACACGAACCAAAGCAACTGTGTTAAATCAAGAGAAGGTATGTGTACACAACAAAAAAACTGGAACAACTGAGAAAACTACAACCAATTGAAAGACGATGCAACAACGAAGCGCAACCTAATCTTGTTATCAATAGATCAGATCGACTACTGAACTACAACTTCTGAACAAAGGCCGCAACTTCGCCGTCAATCAAAAGACAGTTCCCTGTTTAGAATTAAAGACCAGTCTAGACGATTTATCCAGAAGACAAGTGATTCACTAGATAAAAGAACAAAAGGTCACCTCCACCTTAAACAGCATTTAACTAGAGGAGAAAGCCAGACCCCAGCCACCAGACTTTTATGATAGGTAATTACAGCAAAATGGGGTTTCCAAAAACTGTAAACAAAGTTTTTGAAGAATTCTCTAACAATACTATTAACGTAGTCAACCAAACCCGTAAATTGAAGCGGACCAATGTCACAAGCAACGAGATAAAATACTGTTTGTTTGTTTGAAGTTAAGCACAATGCTACACAAAGGACTATCTGTGATCTGCCCACCACGGGTATCGTAACCCAGTTTCTAGCGTTGTATGTCCGCTGACATACTGCTGTGCCACTGGGGGTGGGTGGGGGGAGCGATAAAATTCCTCTATAATATGAAAAATACAAAACAATTACATTAAAATTCTAAAATCTGACAAAGGAAACACTGCTGTAATTATGAACAACACAGAATACATCGACAAAAT